AGAAATACAAACGGTTGGAAGAGATTATGAAAACTCTACACCAATAAATTGGACAACTAGAAGAAATGGATAAATTCCTAAAAACATATAATCTACCAAAACTGAAATACGAAGAAACAGAAAATTTGACCAGACCAATAACCAGCCAAGAAATTTAATCAGTAATAAAAAACTCCCAACAAACAAAAGTCCAGGACCAGATGGCTTCACAGGAAAATTCTACCAAACATTTAAAGAATTGATATCTATTCTCTCAAACTACTCCAAAAAACAGAAGAGGAAGGAAAACTTCCAAATTCATTCTATGAGGCCAGTATCATCCTGATACCAAAGCAAGATAAAGACACCACAAAATAAAGAGAACTACAGGCCAATATCTCTGATGACTATAAATGCAAAAATCCTCAACAAAATACTAGCAAACTAAATCCAAGAATACATTAAAATAATCACTCACCACGATCAAGTGGGATTTATTCCCAGGATGCAGGCATGGTTCAAATTTCACAAATCGATCAATATGATACAAGAAAGGATGAGAACCATATGATCATTTCAATAGATACAGAAAAAGCATTTGACAAATACAACATCCATTCATGATAAAAAACCTCAACAAAAGTCTAGAGGGTACATACTTCAACATAATAAAGGTCTTATCTGGAAAACCCACAGCTAACATCACACTTGATGGGGGAAAACTGAGAGCTTTTCTCCTAAGCTCAAGAATAAGACATGGATGTCAACTCTCGCCACTTTTATTCAACATAGCACCAGAAGTCCTAGCCACTGCAATCAGACAACAAAAAGAAATAAAAGGCATCCACACTGATAAGGAAGAAGCAAACTTTTACTATTTGCAGATGACATGACACTATATATATAGAAAATCCTAGGGGGCTCATCGTAGGGGGCTCCTGGGTGGCTCAGTCGTTAAGCGTCTGCCTTCCACTCAGGTCATGGTCCCGGGGTCCTGGGATCGAGCCCTGCATCAGGCTCCCTACTCTGCACAGAGCCTGCTTCTTCCTCTCCCACTCCCCCTGCTTGTGTTCCCTCTCTTGCTGTGTCTCTCTCTGTCAAATAAATAAATAAAATACTAAAAAAAAAAGGAAATCCTAAAGACTTCACCAAAAAGCAACTAAAACTGATAAATGAATTTGGTAAAGTCACAGGATACAAAATCAACATACAGAAATCTGTTGCATTTCTATACACTAATAAGGAAGCAACAGAAAGAGAAATTAAGAAAACAATCCCATTTACAACTGCATCAAAAACAATAAAATACCTAGGAATAAACCTAACCACAGAGGTGAAAGACTTGTACTCTGAAAACTATAAAACACTGATGAAGAAACTGAAGACAACACAAAGAAATGGAAAGACATCCCATGCTCATGGATTGGAAGAACAAATATTGTTAAAATGTCCATACTACTCAAAGCAATCTACAGATTTAATGTAACCCCTCTCAAAATACCAACAGCATTTTTCAGAGAACTACAACAAACAATCCTAAAATTTGTATGGGACCACAAGACTGTGAGGAGCCAAAGCAATCGAAAAAGAAAAGGAAAACTGGAGGCATCACAATTCCAGACTTTAAGTTGTTTTTTTTTTTTAAGATTTTATTTATTTATTTGACAGAGAGATAGAGAGCACAAGTAGGCAGAGTGGCAGGGAGAGGGAGAGGGAGAAGCAGGCTCTCCGCTGAGCAAGGAGTCGGATGTGGGGCTCGATCCCAGGACCCCAGGATCATGACCTGAGCCGAAGGCAGCCGCTTAACCGACTGAGCCACCCAGGCGCCCCCAGACTTTAAGTTTTATTACAAAGCTGTAGTGATCAAAACAGTTGGTACTAGCACAAAAACAGACACAAAGGTCAATGGAACAGAAGACAAAACCCAGAAATAAACCCACAATTATATGGGCAATTTATCTTTGGCAAAGCAGGAAACAATATGCAATGGGAAAAAGACAGTCTCTTCAACAAATGGTGTTGGGAAAACTGGACAGCAACATGCAAAAGAATGAAACTGGACCACTTTCTTTCATCACACACAAAAATAAACTCAAAATGGATTAGAGACCTAAATATGAGACCTGAAACCATAAAAATCCTAGAAGAGAGCACAGACAGTAATTTCTCTGACACCGGCCATAGCAACATTTCTCTAGATATGTTTCCTGGGGCAAGGGAAACAAAAGCAAAAATAAACTATTGGGACTACATCAAAATGAAAAGCTCTTGCAGAGCAAAGAAAACAATCAACAAAGCTAAAAGGTAACCTGCGGAATGGGAGAAGATACTTGCAAATAATATATCTGATAAAGCATCAGTATCCAAAATATAAAAAGAACTGATACAACTCAATACCCAAAAAACAAATAACCCAATTAAAAAATGAGCAAAAGACATAAACAGATATTTCTCCAAAGAAAACATACAGATGGGCAACAGACACATTGAAAGATGTTCAACATCACTTATCATCAGAAAATGCAAATCAAAACCACAATGACGTATCACCTCACACCTGTCAGAATGGCTAAAATCAACAACACAAGAAACAACAAATGTTAGTGAGGATGTGGAAAAAAGGGAACTCTCACGCACACTGTTGGTGGGAATGCACACTGATGCAGCCACAGTGGAAAACAATATGGAGGTTCCTCAAAGAAATTAAAACTGGAGTACGCAGACCATCACCTTGAGGGAAGTGTGCTCAGGACTCATTCTGATCTTCCCTAAATATCTATGTTATAAAGAAGCTCATGTACTCACAGAATGAAAATATCTTCATAAAATGACTCCAGAATCTCAAGACCATTACCTATCAACAAGTAGGACTCACCTTTAAGATAATAAGAATCACTGAAGAACTTAACTAGGACTTTCCAACTACTGAGGACCTGTTAATTAGCACCTCCCACATATCCTAAGCTGGATCCTCCAGAGGAAAAGCCATGGGATTACATAGTGAGAAGGTAGGCATCTGCAACTCAGGAAGAGGCTTTCATCAGAAACAGAATTTACCAGCACCTTGATTGTATACTTCTAGGCTCCAGAACTGTGAGAAAATAAATGTCTGTTGTTTAAGCCACTCAAAAAAAAAAAAAAACAATTAAAAATGGAACTACCCCATGATCCAGTAATCGCACTACTGGGTATTTACCCAAAGAATGCAAGAACACTAATTCAAAGGGATACATGCACCCCTATGTTTATAGCATTATTTACAATAGCCAAACTATGGAAGCAGCCTAAGTGTCCATCGATTGATGAATGGATAAAGAAGATGTGGTGTGTGAACACGCGCGCGGGTGCGTGCATGTGCACGCGCGCGCACGCACGCGCGCGCACACACACACACACACACACACAGGAATATTATTCAGCCATAAAAAAGAATGAAATCTTGGGACACCTGGGTGGCTCAGTCGGTTAAGCGTCTGCCTTCGGCTCAGGTCATGATCCCAGGGTCCGGGGATCGAGTCCCACATCGGCCTCTCTGCTCCGCGGGGAACCTGCTTCTCCCTCTGCCTCTGTCTCTCATGAATAAATAAATAAAATCTTTTAAAAAAAAAAAAAAGAATGAAATCTTGCCATTTGCCATGACATGGATGGAGCTAGAGAGTATTATGCTAAGTGAAATAAGTCAGTCAGAGAAAGACAAATACCATAGGATTTCGTTCATATGTGGAATTTAAGAAACAAAACAAATGAGCAAAGGGAAAAAAAGAGAGAGAGGAAGATAAACCAAGAAACAGACTCTTAACTACAGAGAACAAACTGATGGTCACCAGAAGGGAGTGGGTGGGAGTGGGTTAAACAGGTGATGGGGATTAAAGAGTCCACTTATCATGATGAGCTCTGAGTCATGTAGAGAATGGCTGAATCACTATATTGTATACTTGAAACTCATATAACACTATATGTTAACTGTTAAGGAGTTGAAATTAAAAACTTATAAGAAAAAAAAGAAGACGATGTATTCCTGATAAATTCATAGCAGTTTATCATTAATTTTGAACAGGACTCTCTAGGTATCATATTCATATCACATTCATTCTACAACACCTTTCCCTACATATTATATATTGTTTTACTTATATACAAGTGCCCTGGGGATTGAATTTGTATAATTTTGTAGTTGGCTTTCTATTGTTAAGATTGGCAGACTATTTGATTGTTTCTGCCAAATCCATGTCACCTCCCAGTTCCTGGTGGCAGTGATACCTGGAGGCTGGGGCACCTTTTAAGTGGGACATCAGACAGCTAGTTGAGAACTACCTCAACTCACCTAAAATGATAAATGACACCAGTGGCTTCCCGAGATTTGCTTACAAGATATTTAATTAGTCCTGACACCCCATAACGAGAATTTTGAAAAAATTGTCACAATATTAAAAAAATCCATGAGATACGTATCTACAATGAGGTTTATTACCACTTTTTGAAACTCCTTCCTGTCCACTTCTCTTTTCACCTAATATCTCCCTTCCTGCATCCTAGGGCTGCTTCTCCCTATCCGCTCACTCACTATCAACTTGATTTACACCCCCAACCAGTCCTGGGGTCAGTTTTCATCCTAGATGTAAAGCCACTGGGTCACCCTCCCCGGCTCCTCCTCTCCCACAGCCAAGAGTAAGAAAGGACTATTGTGTTTCCTACCAACGATAAGTCACAGGGCTACCCTCTAGCGCCTTGGATAATTGAGAACTGACTGCCTCATCATCTAATGTTCTCCTCTTTCAAATGCCTTATTACCTTCCATTTCAACCAAGGACCCAGCTAAGAAACAATCCATCAGTGCTCATTTGGCCAGCGATCAACAGGACAGGAATCTCTCCTACGAGACCTACTAGATCCGCATCCTCCTCACTGCAGACCTCAGAAAGCAACTATGAACTCTCATGCCCAGCTGACTCTGAAGGACAGTCCCCCACATCCTGTGCTTAGCGTTTTCTGGGAGGCAATGAGACTTCACCTTCACCTACCAGCCGTCTGGAACCCAATGATGGCCGGCCTGGAGTGCGAGGGAGGGGCGGTGGACACGCTCACGGTGTAGTTGGTGCCTTGGTACAGATCTAGGCACACTTCTGGGGTCCTGCTGTCTGTGGTCACGTTGACTGTCTCCTCATGAACTGATCCCACAGGGTACAACCGTTGTCCTTTCATGTATATCTTTGGGAGGGGAAAAGAAAAAAGAACCCGCTGTGACTCTGGTGAAAAAACAACTGAGAGCCTTGGTACAGCGGAATCCCATTCTCCTACTTTTCCCTTTGACACCACACTGTGCGCGCAGGGAGATGAACAAGGTCAGCCTCTGCTATCAGGTATCTGATGCTGAAGTCTGATCAGCCCAGTAACCAATAAACCCTAAGAAGTGACATAAAATGAGGAGTCCCTCTAGGGAGGCCTAAGCTGCACACAAAGGACCAGCCGTCCGTGGAGGCAGTCACAACCTGTCCCCGAGGGAGCAGATGTTTCCAGGCCTCCTCTGGGGGAGTGAGATACAAGTGCTGGGGAACAAGCGGTCATGATGATGCCAAATATAAACAATATATCCCCCACCCATACCCCCTGCCGAATGACACATATGTTAAACATAGAATGTAAAATAAAATAAACCACATATCTTAAAAAAAAAAATCCGATCACTTTTTAAAAGAACAATCAGACAATGAGATGGAGAAGCCCTCATGAAAGAAGTCTCTCCAAGTCATGTTCCTAGCAGGAAAAAGTGGATCATTTCACTTACCACGTAAACAATCTTGGAGATGATGCTTCCTGGGTTTATCTGCCACCTCACACAGGTGTTATTAAACACTGATACATCACTAATTTCTGTAATTATTTCTAAAACAGAAAAAGAGAGAGTCCACTCACAAAATGCATCAATGGCCTCTGGCATGACTCAGTTTCTCTGTGCAGCTCATATCTCCCCTAATCACCATTCGTGCTCTGATTCAGAAAGCAAATCAGGCAATTCAAGCTGCCCCAGGCCAATCACCCCATTTCTCTTCATCAAGAATGAGCCTGGCCTATTACCTGACTTGGAGGAAAAGAAAAGATAGACACCCACTTGAGAAGGCTAAGAACTCCAACCTGTGATTGGCCTGGCAGGCCACTGGATGCCACCGGCGTTCCATTCCTGCGGGACAGAGAGGCCAGAGCTGCGCCCTGAATCTCCCCTGCAGCTGCCCAGGAAAGATGTGTTTCTGGCTTTGTACCACCTGGCTGACAGAACACTCTTATTTCCAGGTCACTGCTGTTCCCAAGAGGGAAATGACATGCATCCCCACACGGGACCATTCCTCAGGAGCAGCTTGGAGTAAACTAAATAAATTCTCCATAAGGTCCCTGGATATTTCTGGGGCTTCTCTAACTGAAGCTATTTAATTCTGATTTATCAGAAAGCCACTGATTTCTTCAAGTTGTCCTGCTTCTTTTAAATATTCTGTGTGTATTTCACATAATAAATTTGGCAATATGGGAAACCTTGGTTCTGAGGTCACAGTTTCCAATGGACTGTATTGGCTCTCTTTCCTCCCCTGCTTTACTCACTGTACCCCTCACCCCTGCTTCCCAGGATGTCATTCCCCATTGTGTAATAAATGTAAGTCCTGAGCCTCAGGCTCTGCTTTCTGGCAAACCCAAGGTAAGACTCCCATCAAGAAGGATGAGAAAGTTAATTCTCCATCTCAGAAGATGCCTCCTCTCAACTCAGCCCCCTCTCTCCCTTCTCAGCCTCCAACGTGGGAAAGAGAGCCTGCACATCGGGCACCTGTAGGACTGACTCATTTCCCCCGTACCCGGAACCAGTGCTACCTTTAGATAGACCCTACTGATGATCTCTTTGCCATACAAGATTTTACATCTTTATTAAATCACCCATCAGCAGCATTATTGGGTCTTGGGTAAGCCCAGGTCAGGCTGTCAGTAAGTGAGAATAAATACAGGCAGACAGAGGAAAACAGACAAATTCCTGGAGAGACACCACAGGATCACCTGTGGCTATTTAAAGCATTCTCGTGTCTCTACGTCAATACTTCTCCCAGAGCACAGATAAAATGAAATCAAAGAAATACTCCAGTTGTGGACATGGGTACCCCAACAGATGCAAAGATCCTATCTGTTCACCTCCTTGGGGAGCATGAAGATGACATTGATGCCAGTCTTTTATCAGCTTGAACAAGCCCCAAATACTCTAGCCCCTTCCCTCCCAATCACCCTTCAAAGGCCCTAGAGCCCTGGACTCCTTTGCTCACCCACACATCCCTCTGATACTAACGTACCACCTGGTCCAGAAGGAAAAGGGAACAGCCCACCCCTCTCACCTGGTCTCTGACTGCCAGTAAAGCAAATTTCCTTCTCACTGGGGACCTCTTTGCCACAAGCAGAGATGAGAAAGGAGACATGACAAAGTTTCCTTTCTTGTCCTTCCATTTTGCTCATTCACTATGACAACAGCAAATGACATCTCAAAATTGCCATCTGCCTCCTGCCTGCGCCATGCTCTCTTGCACAGATGGGACCAAGATCTGATTACAGGGATGTCAGATATCTCATCCCAAGGAGCAGTTTAACAAAATGCAGTTGCTTTTCCCTCCAGGTGTCTACAAATCAGCTGGAAAGACCTCTTTATAAACCCATCAGATACTAAACATCCACATAAATGCTGCCCTTTTAAAAGAGATACCCTAATTCTAATAGTACCGATAACTGAAGACATTTCTGGAAGTTCTCTTTGGAACTGACTCCAGGGCTCTTTATGCACCATTCACTGAATGATTACCAAATGCCAAGCATCCTCCCATGCCAGGCACTGGGCTGTGACAATGATCAGAACAAAAGCCCTTCCCGCAGGAACATGTTGTCTAATGGAGGGAGCAAACATATAAGTAGGGAGATTACAACTCGATAAATCTTAGAACAAAGTTACACATGAGTACACGGGGTCTAGAGAAAGAAGCCACTCTTACTAGAGGGCCTGGGGAAGCGGCTTTGTGGAGGGCATGACCTTGACGGATGAATGGCTGAAAAGTGGGGAAGACACCTAAGCAAACAGACAGCGGGGCTAACGTCTGGAACCATAACGGGCTGTGGCATATTCAGGGTGCTGAGAAGGAGGCAAGACAGGATCAGACAGGGAACGACCCCGCTCGCCATACCAAGTGCAGACTCACTCCTATGAGCAATGGGTAGCTAAAAGCAGGAACATAAGGGCACTTTTTTTTTCTTTAGAAAGATAACTCTGGTGTTTTGCGAAGTAGACACTGGAGTAGAACTGGAGATCATAAGAACAAGATACTCTTTACCCAGAGATTATGATGCGCCAAACACTGATAGATCTTTATTTTATTTTTAAGATGTATTTATTTATTTATTTGATAGAGAGAGACACAGCAAGAGAAGGAACACAAGCAGGGGGAGTGGGAGAGGGAGAAGCAGGCTTCCCGCAGAGCAGGGAGCCCGATGGAGGGCTCGATCCCAGGACCATGGGATCATGACCTGAGCCGAAGGCAGACGCTTAACGACTGAGCCACCCAGGTGCCCCACTGACAGATCTTTAAAGACCAGATCTCATCTGAAGAGCAGTCGTAAGAAGCAACAGCGAACATTTATTGAGTTACTACTCTGGACCTGATAGTATGTATAGAACTTTAAAAGCATCATTTATTTAATCTTCAAAATAACTCCATGATAATACTTTCATAATACATGAAAGTCAGACCATCACGCTGTGTGCCTTAAACTTATGCAGTGATATATGTCATTATTTCTCAATAAAACTGGGCAAAATATTAAAAATTAATTTAATTTAAAATAAGCCCATGAGCTCGATATTACTGTGTCCATTTTCTAGACCTGAGGCTTAGAGAAGTTACACAACCCGCCAAAGTTCATGCGGGTTGTAAGCAGTCAAGTCAGGATTCAAAACGAGAACCATCAGACTCCAAGGCCAGGAGCTGGGGGCATTGTGGCAGTTATTCAGCAGAGAGGAGGAGAGGTGGCCTCACGGCCGGGTTTTAAAGCCAGAAGACAACTCTGAAGGAGAAGCAATAGGAGGTGAGTGATAAGGTACAGCTGGGAGTCTAGGCTGACTGCCAGCCTTTGAGCTCAAGAGACTGAATGGATTGTCTTATACTGTTCTCCTGAGAAACAGAGGCGGGAGCACCCCAGGTTTGGGAGAAAAAGACTAACGAACTGTGTTTAGAACATGCTAGATAGGAGTTCTCTACAGACTATCCAGGTGAAAAAAAAATCATCTTGAAAGTCAGCAAGGTATGGATGGTCATTGATGCCAAGTGTGAGGTAACATCCAGGGAGGACATGGAGAGCAGCCCAACGGACATGGAACCCAAGGGTAAACCAGAGGACACAGAGCAGCAGAGAGGGAGGAGACTGGCTAGAGGTAGGGATGCCTGGAGGCCAAGGAAAGATGTGAAGGAGTGTCTGCTTCCTCCAAAGTTATCTCCCTTCCTTCCCACCAATTCCCCACAACGTCCTCACCTCTGACCCAAGAAGGACCTGGAGCAGGTCATCACAGCACCAGGGAGAACCTCCACCTCTTTCTTCTTTCACATGGTTCTTGGTCCCCAGAACACCCAAAGTGTCATGATGAGATCTGAAGTTTGACTTCGGGAAGAGGTAGGTAGAGCAGGCCTGTGCCTCGTCCAGTGAGAGGACACTTAGGCCTCTCTGGATTTTATTAAAAAAAAAAAAAAAAAAAAAGGAGGCCCCCACCCCATCCAATTGAACTCTCCATTAGATCTGGGGAAGCAAAGCTTCAGTGGGTAATAGAGCACCTTTGCTTGCCTTTGGATTCTGTATGTGGTGCATGCATGTGCAGAAATGTATATAGGTATGTATTTTAGTATTCTACTAGCATCCAGCATTTCTCTGCAGTACTTACCACATTTATAACTAAATAATTTTGTAATTGGTTATTTAGTGTCTGCCTCTCCTGAATGTAAGCTCTGTGATAGCAAAGACCAGGTTTATCTCTCTATCCCCAGAACCTAAGAGAGTACCTTAGATATTTTTTTTTAATATTTATTTGGTTGACTGACTGAATGGATGGACAAAGGTATGGTTAGGTGATCAACAGTACTAAATGTTGTGGAAAGGTTAAGCGGACTGAGGATTGAAACTAGAACAGGAATTTGACAGGTGGTCGCTAGGGACCTTGGTGAGAGAGCTACAGTGGACTGGAGGCTCTGGGTGCCTGACCGTTGGCTGGGAAGAGCAGTAGGGAGGGAGGGGCAGAGGCAGCGGACATACTCTCTCAGGAGTCCCACTGTGGACAGGGACTGATTCAGCAGACTCTCTTGGTTTCCAGCTTTATATCCTTTTTCTCTATTTTTCGAAACAGTAAAAGATCACTGAGAGTAAGTTCAGGTGACCCAGGCAGACGGTCACGCTCAGTGTCATTTCTAGTCAAAAACAGTATCTGATTTCAAAAGTCAAATGACTGATCTTCTAATATGACTCACAAACTACTTCCAAAGGCAATTTCCAAACACAGATTACAAAACATACATTTTGATGATGGCAGCATCACTGAAATCAAAGTGACTACTTGAATAAGTGCATGCTTGGCTATAAGAGTTCTGCTATATTTCCTTTCCTGTTTTTAAGTCTTTAGAGTCACATACAATAGGTAGAAGTAGAAAGACTTAGAGGAGTGTTTTCCTAAAATGCATTATACACCTAAGGATGATTTTTTTGCAGCACATGAATAAATTTATATATGTTTGCTTGTACTGACTTTTGTGCATATTAGAAAAAAATACACGTAGTTCATCCAACTCATAATATCACATACACTACACAAAGTGTCTTTGATCAATAAATTTAAATTATGATTTGAAATTTCAAATATAAGGTTTTTTAAAGAAACTTATTTAAAAAAATAATACTTTTGTTATGGCAAACATCATCAGGGTGGTATACAAATGATTCAAGCTTGGGAAACACTGGTAGGAGAGAGCGAGATCGTGGGCTTCCCAGGCGTCCTGACCAAAGTTCAAGTCCTGTCTCTGCCATTTACTAGTTACCGAAGGACCCTGTGAAAGTTGCCTAACTTCTACGAGTCTCAGAGTACTCACCTATGAAATAAAAAATAACAATACTTACTTTACAGGGTTTCTCTGAGGACAAAGCAAAACCAAGCATGCAGACCCCTAGCAGAGACCTAGCAGAGCCCTGGGCATGTAAGTTGGCACACAGCCAACGGTAGCTATCCTGCTTGACAGTCCAAACATCATACACATATTCAAACAAATCCCAGCCATGGGGCTATTTATATCAATGTGTCCATTTACTCCAGCTGACCTTTGTTTTCCATCTGAACCGCATTACTGCTGCAAGTGAGCACTCACTAGGCTGAAAAGGAAGATCAGCAACAAAACCGAGGGGCAGAAGCTAAGAGGACGCCTGGAGGCATTTGGACTCGGGGCCTGAATTGGGTTAGGGGGCTCAGAAGGGACCCCAGCCCATAAACAGTCTGTGTTTCAACAGCGATGTTACCCTTCTCTAAGAGCGCGGCAAGAGCTAGCGTCAACCTTATAATTATTAACTCAGATTCTAAACACGAAAAGCCAAATGGCCCGAGCAGAAGGAAAGCCAGCAACAGTCTTATCAAGAATGAATCAGCCCCTTTGATCTTGAGGTAAACCAACCCACTAAACATCAAGCTCCCACCTGGGGTTTTTCCAGACACTAAAATGGTTGCCTAATTCTCAGCTGTCTGGAGGTTCCAGTCCAAACTGGCCTTAAAGAAAAAAAGGAAAAAAAAAAAAGTCTCACCACCTTGCCAGCATTCACACCCCATTAAAAACATACACAGATCCATGCTGCTAATCCTAAGAAACAGGGCCTCCGAAAGTAAGTTCAACTAAAAACAATCCAGGTAAAGTGAAGATAAATTATTCCACCCAATTTGGAACTAAACAGTGAAGTATAAAGAGAGGGGGTAAACAGAATGGAAACAGCGAGAGGAGGTAGAAGTCATTCAGAGGTTAGGCAGAAAAGCAGACGGTGGGAGGAAAATCCAGACGTGGACATCGAAGAAGGTAATACACGGAGGGAGTTGGTACAGGAGAGGTGTGCAGAAATGAGTGGAAAACAGGGAAAAGAAGGCAGAAGGGGGTTCAGCGGGGCAAAAGCCACGGTAATCAGCATCTCTCACTACATTTCCAGAAGCCTCTCCCCTACCTACCCACCCAGATCGTGCACGCGGCACCGTGAATTAATCAGCATGTAAATCACCCCCTTTATCTGAGGAAATTGAATTTAGCTGCCAATCTTGATTGAGGGCACAGAGGCCTCCTCCCAAAAAGATCGCAGCTCTCAGGGAAAAATGCCTTTTCTCTCCTTAAATCAAAGCTTGCATAAACCCAAGGAAACAGCTGCAGCTGGAGCCACAGACTGTGTGAAAGGTGGCAGGCTGAGGACGGTAATTATAATTAGCAGTTACATAACATGTTTGTTCTTCAAAGTGCTCTACAAGCATCAGCTAATTAACAGCTTACTATGCCCCATGCGGATCCACTGGTTTTTCCTGTAGGGACTAATCCCTGTACCCCCACTGAACTCTGAATGGAAGCAAAGCAGCCTGAGCAATGAGGCAAATGGCTGAGGGTCCAGAAGCTATGCCCAGCTGTCTCATCAAGGGACTCCACAGGTATCTCAGGGCCAGGAACATTGCCCCAAATGTTTAATTCGGCATCCTGTGAGACAGCCACCTCACTGCCTCCAAATAATTCTTAAAGTGCTATTAAAGATACACTAACAGGGGTGGGGCGGGGGATGGCCATCAGTCTGGTCCAATATGGCATTAGCTCTTCTCAATTTCCCTAATGAGACTGGGACTCTGGAGTCCTTGCTGTTAGTTACAGGACCGCCCTTGCTTCTCCGTGCAGGTACGGTAAGTCAACGAGAACTCTCTAAGAACAGGTTGAACCAGCTCTCTGGGCTCCCATCCAAGTCTACCCTTCTTCGTTTTCTAGGCTTGCAGTCTCTAGCCTCCATCCTCTTCCAGTTATGGCGGAGATGACCCGATGTGGGAACTGCATGGCACAGATGGCTCCAGCAGCCCTGCCGAATTCTTCATCTATCTCAGGGAAGTCCATGAACATCCCGAATTTGTAAAACATTATATGTATGTGTGTACATGCATTTCTTTGGAGAAAAGTTGGTTTACCCTGTTGCCCAATGAATTCCAAGAAGGTAGTGTCTAGCAAAGTACCTCACCCCTAGCGTATGCTAAATAGATACCTATTAAATCAATTTGATAGATTTCACCAAATTCCTATGCCCCAAATGGTTAGGAACCATTGTTCTATGGACAGATAATCACCAGCAGTCTCCATGTTTTGCTTGCTCTGGCTAGACTTCCTTATGGAAAACTTTGACGAGCAAGACCCAAGACATGCTACAACAATTCAGCTGCAAGTCAAACCGGAGACCCAGACCGAAGCTCCCTTGAGATTTCACTCTTCATAGATCTGTCATTAGAGTCAACATCTAGAAACACATCATTCCCAGGGGCGCCTGGGTAGCTCAGACGTTAAGTGTCTGCCTTCGGCTCAGGCCATGGTCCCAGGGTCCTGGGATCAAGCCCCACGTTGGGCTCCCTGCTCCAAGGGAAGCCTGCTTCTCCCTCTCCCACTCCCCCTGCTTGTGTTCCCTCTCTTGCCATGTCTCCCTCTGTCAAATAAATAAATAAAATCTTAAAAAAAAAAAAGAAACACATTCCCAGAGCCATTCAACACTGTGTGACAACCATTTGTCACACCCCCTGCCCAACCATCACAAATAGAGTCACTGCCTTCTCCCACCTTGTCACTTGGAGGCAGTGGTGTGAACTAAAGAATGTGTAAGCGCATACTTGTGACTCATCAGAACACCTTCTTCAAGACAGGCCAATAATTTCAGTAAAAGACCTAACATGTACACGGTGCTTTAAACTTTTCAAAATGTTCCCCACAGATGATCTCATTTGATTCCCTCTCAATAACTCTTTGAAATAGGAAAAGCAGACTTTATTTTCCCCCCTTTATAGATGAAGAAACTGAGGATCTGAGCAAATAATGCCTTACCTGATGACACACAGCCCATATATGACACTGCTAGACTTTGAACTGTTGTCTCAGAACCCCTTTTCACCAATTATTCCATTTCGGGGTATATACCCAAAAGAATTGAAAGCAGGGTCTCAAAGAGATATTTGCATGCCCATGCTTACAGTAGCACTATTCACAATAGCCAAAAGGTGGACGCAACACAAGTGTCCATCAGTGGATGAATGGATCAACAAAATATGGTAAATACATACAATAGAATGTTATTCAGCCTTTAAAAAGAAGGAAACACCACCCTTTGCAACAACATGGATGAACCCACAGAACATTATGCTAGGTGAAGTAAGCCAGTCACGGAAGGACAACTACTACCTGATTCTGCTTATATGAGGTATCTAAATTAGTCAAATCCACAGAAACAGAAAGTAAAATGGTGGTGCTGTGGGGAGCAGGGAGAAGTGGAGAGTTACTGTTTCATGGGTACTGAGTTTCAGTTTTGCAACATGAAAAGGGGTCTGGAGATGGGTTGCACAACAGTGTGAATATACTTAATACTTAAAAATGGTTAAGGTGGTAAATTTTATGCTGCGTGTGTTTGACCACAATTAAAAATTTTAAAATAAACATTAAAGACCTCTTTACCCACTAAACCAGATTTTCTCTGAAATGCTGCCAACGTGGGCTAAGTTAGGACTTTTCAGTATGCCCCCCTGAGAAAAATGGTTCCTGGAGAAACATTTCTCAGCCAGCCAAGCAGAGAAGACAGGAATCATTGTGATTTAAGGTGAGTTGCCAAAGATGGATGCATGAGATTTTCTACACAACTTATTTCCTCAATCCACCCTCTAAATCTCTGGAGTTTCTAAATCTCTGGAGTTCAGCTGACACATCTAAAGCCAAGTGCCCCCTCAGGTAAATGGCAGAGCCAGGTGCAGTGCACAAGGAGCGATGCGCCGGCTGGAGGTCCCAGGCTCCTGCTGGCTGTTTGCTTCCAGGAAAAAAAAAAAAGCCCCACCGAACGGAGTCCTTACCTGTGCATGTCAAAGTACTTTCTCTCCAAGTGCCTTTCTCCGTGCAAACAGAAGTGATCTTTCCTCCAGGGCTCTCAAAGCCCTCCTGACAGACATAGTGAGCCACACTGCCCGGGCTGGAGCTGTGATTCCCCACCAGCAGTGCATGCTGCACCTGCGGAGGATGGCCGCACTTGATCTCTGCAAGGGCAGGAAGCATAGCACTAGTTATGACGCCCAACTTCTATCCCTATAGTCCACGTTTTAGGAAAAAACATTTAGTCATGCTAGAGTCCCCTCATCTGGGAAAAGAGAAAACATGAACCCCATCAAATAATCCAGTTGCAGATATAGAAGACTGTTCGGAAGGAGAGAAAATAGACATGCCTGACTTCAGTGAAACTCACAAACGTGTACACATAGAAAATATTCCACTTATAAGACGGTTTACATTATGGAGAATTCCTTGGTCAATGAAATAATCCATTCTGGGGTCCTTTTAAATATTAAGATTTTTCAGGTGCCTTTTCCTATGTATCATGAGATCACAAACTCCTAATAAGTAGATGATAATGCAATTACAGTTTTGTTCCCAACGGATTATTAAATGAAACAGATACAAAATCTTTGAACTTTTTAAAGCAAATTAATAGGGAAAGTATATACAGTCTAAACACTCACTTTATGTTTCTATAAAAGAAAAAATCAGCTGCATAGAGGGAGACAAGCCAAGAATTATAAAATTGATATGAAATTTCTTCTCAGCAACTCTGACTACTAGAACACAGTAGAATATTTACAGAAGCCATCTGAAGGAAATGGATTATGATGCTACCATTTCAGACTCAGCCAAACTCTCCTCCATGTAAGAGTAAAAGAAAGTCATCTTCAGATATTTTGCAATTTTTTAAAATTCATGTTTATCTTTTCTGAAAAAAACAAAACAAACTCCAGCCCAATAACAACACAGAAGAACCAGAATAAATATCTTAAGAAAAGTAGAAGACAGGTTTTAGAAGAAACACTAGCAAGCAATGAAATCAGCATGTTGTGCAGGTTAAGTCTCCATAATCATTTAAATGTGACTGGAGAGCTTGATACAACTAGTAGTAAAGGATTCTATAACAAAAAGTTGAACACTGTAAAAAAAAATGAATAATTTGAAAATAAAATTCCAAATTATTTCAAAAACTCTGAGTAATGAGGCAAAGGGAAGAAACGAACATGTCAAATTCCTCATGCAGTCGTGGGGAGTTCATAGATACAATTTTATTCAAGAAAGCATAATAAATCTAAAATAAGGAGGCCATAATCATTCCAGATGTAGCCAAGAGTCCCAGTTATACCCGAATACAGAGAAAAAAATATATAACTTCTGGTATTCATTCTGATTTTTAGTTTTCTCCCCAATCTGTAGAAAGCCAAGAATATTAGGCACTCTCGACATGCAGGCTTTTAAAATATAAGTGTGAGGTGCCTGGGTGGCACAGTACATTAAGCATCTGACTCTTGGTTTCAGCTCAGGTCCTGATCTCAGGGTCTTGAGATCAAGCCCTGTGTTGGGCTCTGTGCTCAGCATGGAGTCTGCTTGAGTTTCTCCCTCCCTCTCCCTCTGCCCCTCCTGCTTGTGCTCTCTCTCCCTCTCTCTCTCCCTCCCTCAAATAAATCTTTTTTAAAAAATAAAATGTAAGTGCATTTATTGAGATAAAGAACTCCAGATAGAGAAAATGGTATGATCTGTTTCCAACTCCCCATCAACTATTCTTGGCCTTAGAAACAGGTAGCTTCTCTTAAATGAGCTTCCGATAAAGAACTGGTGGATTTAATGGAACTGCACATGCCTCCATCCCACTATGAATGCTTGGTCTGTTGCAGAACCCCAGAGTTCTTTCCCTGAGGGAGGCCTCCCAGAGCAGGCTTTCATCTGTTGTCATTGATGTTCTCATGAGAACATCAATACAACAGCTCAACCTACATGGCTCTGAGATTTTTTTTTTTTAAGATTTTTATGGATTTATTTGACAGAGAGAGAGCACAAGCAGGGGGAGCAGCAGAGGGGGAGGGAGAAGCAGGCTCCCCACTGAGCAGGGAGCCCAATGTGGGGCTTGATCCCAGGACCCTGAGATCATGATCTGAGCCAAAGGCAGACACTTAACCGACTGAGCCACCCAGGTGTCTCAGCTTTAAGATTTTAAAAGAAGAGTTAGTTTCTAGCCAATGCAGATTCACATCATGAGCAGTTACGGGACCAGAACCAGGTGGTCATTTCATGAATTCTCCAACCCTGCCCACCTCACAAGTCCCATATTTGCTCAGGGACTTACTCCCTTTTCATATGTGTTTACCAGACACAAGGGCTACCTCATCATGTTTTTCGCAGCGTCAAACCTTTAGAGATTATCAACAGGCCCAAAACACTGCAAGACAGGAGTATATTTTCTGTGTACCTGGGCAACCAACCGAATAGGTGGTTAATGTTTCATAAGGCTGCCCAGTCATTGTTGACATCTAAAATATTTTCTAATTAAAGCCAGAGTTCAGTTAGAGCAGGAAATAGAGGGAACAGCAGTGAAGAGGTTGAGGGTGTAGGTTTATGTAGGTTTATGGACCTTGAAGCTGGAATTCTAAACAGCACACTGGAGAGGTTTCGGAAGGAACCCAGTGATAGATCACTGGATTAAGGGAGAAGCACAGATTCTAAATGTATACGAGTACAGAAGATACCTAAATTGGCTTCCATCCTTGGATGTGACCAAGAATAATGGAAGGTGTGTAAAAATATAAGATTTTTTTTTAATTAATACCAAAAATATTAATTTGGGAGTCGATGAGAGATCAGTAGCTTGGTCTCTAGGGACTACAGTTCAGAGACTCAGGGAGTTGCCCAGGAGTGGGCAACCATGACTCTGTGAGTTCCCATACCATAGCTACTCAAGTTGGATAGTCCCTTAGCGAGAGACAGACAGGATTCTAGCATGGCTTGGATTAAACACATGGTTCAAAACGGCAGCTGTACATCTGAATTGCCTAGGGAACTTGTAAAAAACACCCATGCTGGTGGCTCACAGCCTCTCCCCTTACCCAGAGATAATTCTTCCGAATCAGTAGTACTGAGTTGGGTTCTTGGCATCCACATTTCTACAAGGTTCCAAGTTTGATTTTTATGCACACACTCAGCTCAGAACCTAAATTAAATACTGGGATGAATAGCTACCATTTATTATCACATGCTTGAGGGTTTAATGTCTTTCTATGAATACATTATGTCTTCCCAAATATATGGCCAGTTTGTAAAGGACAGAATCTTTATTTGATCGTCTCCTGCACCCCCACAATGCCTACTTAAAATAATACCTTTTGCATAGTAAATACTCAATAAATAATTGTTCACTGATAGCTTGCTACTACTTTATTATTGTTCAAGATGTAATAAATGTTACTTTGATATGAAAAACGGCCCCTGAGGAAGGAAAGAGGCATCAGTAAATTGTAAGTATAAATAACAAGACAGGTATACATTACATTTGTTATCCAACAGAAGTAACTCACACCTACCAAACACCAAGTAGATGAAAGTGGAGTAAAAGACTCACAAAAACTAATATCAGTTTTGTACCAGGGAATTCTGGGAATGTTGTTCAAACCTCAATCATTTTAATCATAATAGCATTCATCAAAGTCCTACTAAACGTAAGTCTATTAGATACATACTATCTTATTTATTCCTCAAAGAAAACCTTGCAAGGTAGATGGTTTTTTTCTCACATAGTTTATAGATACGAATATGGAGCTTAAGAGTCCCTAAGAGCTCCTAAGAGCTTAAGTCACGTTCAAAAGTCACACCACTAGTAAAAGATACAGCCAGTACTCAAGCCATGGGATATGTGACCCCAAAGTCCAGGTCCATTAAATCTGGGGAGGCTCACCATGAAGGGGTTCAGTCTAGGCCCTGATTAGGACTGAGCTTAGAAGTTAGCTAAAACCTCAGGAGAAAAGGTCGCATAAAGGAGCATTCAAATCAGTATGGAAGAGTTCTTTAACAACTCCCTCTTCCGAATCTTGTCTCCCACAGCTTTCCCAGAGCAAGATAGCTGCTGGAAACAGACCTACCCCTACATCTGTGTGATACCCTGAAGCCTTCTTAGTACTGACATTTAAACCCGTAACATGGGGCTCTGTCCAGGTCTGGCCTGGCACATGGCCCTGTCACAGACATTCCCATCATGCTTAAGAGAGATGGCAACCACTGCCATTTCTACTCAGACCAAAGGGTGCCCAAGGAAGCAGGTGGATACTATTAAGAAATACTCCAAAATCAATCCAACGGAGGCTGCAATAGGTGGTAATAAAAATATGGTACTACACGAAATGCCCAAAGTTCTCACTATCACAAGGAAATAAGCCATTTTAAAACAGTTTATAACCAAAGGAAAGAAAAAAATAAGGAGCACAAATCTGCATCACATATGCATTAGGGGTGTTCATTTAAGCACACATTTCTCTGGCTAATTATATTGTGAAGGAACAGCATTTGGATACATATCAGCAATACAGTCAACTAATTATGAACACAGCTGGGAATTTTTTTTTTTTTTTTAAGATTTATAAGATTTATTTATTTGAGAGAGAGGGCAAGCACACAAGTAGGGGGAGGGGCAGAGGGAGAGAACCCCCAAGCAGACTCCCCACAGAGCATGGAGCCTGATGGGGAACTGGAGCTCACGTCCCGGGGAGCACGACCTGAGTGGAAACCAAGAGTCAGATGCTTAACCGTCTAAGCCACCCAGACGCCCCATGGCGGAACTCTTCCTTACCATCCTACTATCTGTGATTTTATTCAAATAATCAACTTCAAAACAGGTCTCCCTGCGGGGGCGGTGGGGAGGCGGGGGGAATGTGCTGTGCCAGTTTCAAGGACCACATTCATACTGTAACTCTGTTTCATATCTTGAAGGTAAAAAAAGTTTATCCACACTACAGGCTTTACTATTCAACCCAAGAAAATATTCCAGAAGGAAATCTGTTTGATGAAAGGCATAGGCAATTTATGGCATCTAATCAACAACTGGCTGTGTCACCATGTCATCCCCATTGGCTACTTCTCCTGAGAAACATCAGCACAATAATGTGATTGATTTCAGAAATAACATAGTCATAGAAGGCTTCATCTAGGACTGTTTTAGAGAGCAATAAATACCAAG